GTGATTTGTCTTCCACACAGCTCCAGAAGTAATTCTCCTGGTCTGCACTGTCCTGGAAAGATAGATAACTGTGGCAGCAAATGATCACAGTACACCTGCAAATGGAAGCACGGTTTCCTTGGCGATCAGTTCTGATCTCCACACTCAGTTCTCTGTATCTGTCTTCTTGCTCACAAGGATTTTGCTGCTTGGACATTAAAATTGGTTGGACTCAAACAATACCGTGCTGTGTAGCCCTTGATCCCTCAGGTCAGCTTCATGGGACATGGCAGAGCATTCAGCTCGAGCAGGGAAACAACTTTTGGGCTGGGCGGGAGGGTGCATAGTTGTGTCTGCCTGAAGGTTCTCCCTCAGTGTGAATAAGGCTCTTCACAGTGAAGTTCTCAAGTGCTGGTACATGCCACCTGTGCTAACGTAACAAGCTCTGCGTGTGTATGGTTTTAGTTCTTTTTCCTGTGATGCTAGTCAAAGAGTGATTGTGATAATGAAAACTAATTAGTGAGCATCATTATTAACAGTTTCCATCTGAAGCGTGCACATGATAATCTGCGTGGTTAATTGTTACCTTACCAGATTTGCGGTTTTACCCTTTGCCTGTGCCATTTTGAGTGCTGTAGTAGTTTCTTTTCACCAGTCCTTTCTAGCTTCCTGCCTGTCACTTGGGGATTTTCAGTAGGGAAAAATCATAGAATGCACTTCTGGTACCCACCGACAGCTATGAAAACTATGCTGGAATTTCACAGAACTTTGACCCCTCTAACCTCTGCTCTTCAAGGATGCAGGTGACCTCCCTGGCTAAGGAGAGAGTAATATTTTCACAGACAAACTCTGTCCTGTGCCTACTAAATAAGAATTCTACTTCCCTGCTCCCTCCATCCCACTCTGCCACACTTGGTAATCTGTTGTAAAATTAATGTTACCATACATTTGTATACAGAGGAAGGTACAGAGAAACTACTGCGGGGGATGCTTCATAGCCATAGGCAGATGTGATGTACCCACAGTTGGAAGAAATTGGGCCTGACAAGCCAGTAGTGGGGGCAGAGTCAAGCACATGGTTCAGATGGCTTATAATCTCTGCCCCTCTGAGGCTCATCCAGCCTTCCTGGAGGGCCATTCCAAAGCTTGTGCTTCTGAGTTTGAGGTATAGATATTAACATGCTTTGAAATGAAGCCATCCTGGGCACGTTTGTTGCATCATTACTTTCTCAATTTCAAGGTGCATTGAGGAGGCAGAAACATTCCTTAAAGAGATGCCATCTACAATAGCAGGTTAAATGTGGCTAATACAACCTTAAATTAGCTTTTTTTTCAAGAGTACAGGAAAATCCTTACATACGGTTTGTTGTGGAGCACGTAATGTAAAAATTGCCATTGTAGAATTTTTAAAAAAATTGCTTCCTAGAAGTACAGTCACTTCTTGATTATTTATACCAATGGAGAAGAATATTTGTATAGATAACAAAACTATAACTAATTTGTCTACTTTGATTCTCAAGCCTTAAGTCCACATAGTACCAGGAAATTATGCTAATAGATGGCCCAATCTTACATGTAAAAGCTGCAACATGGAAAACCTAGATGTGAGAGTCTTTGCATATAGCCTTATAAACAGAAATATTTGATAGTGTTTTGAAATGAGTATTCAGTATAAGCCCCAATACTATGTCACATATATATAATATAAATATATATGTAAATATACATATTATATATACATATTTATATTTCATACTGGTCTTGAACTCACTATATAGTCCAAACTAGCCCCAAACTCTGTGGTCTTCATGACCTTATCCCAGGTGCTGGGGCTACAGGCATGTACCATCACCCCTGGCAATGCTTAGTTTCTAAAATAAATTTGAAGTTAATTTTATTAAGATACTTTCATTCTACTCTCAGTGAGTTGCACTTCAGAATTAATGAAGAAGAATTTAAAATGTCATGTTAAGGATATCTTTTGAGCTCTTATCACTTTATTTCGTTGGATCCATTGATATCTTCACTGTCTCAGTAGGAACTGAACTGATTGCTGTTAGACCTTCTTTCTCATAATCAGATTGTCTCTTAGTTAACTATTGTTTACCTTTCTCTTATTAACCCTGGAAAAGAATATAAGAAACTGAAGCACATTGCTCTTTGAAAGCAAATTACTTAACCACAGTCAGTCAATTTTATAGTAATATAATCAGAATTCCTAAAATAAACACTTTCCCTGACTCAATTAGCAGGAAATGATTTATAGCTACATTACCTGAGGAAAGTTGCCAGCATGCCTTACCAGTCTTTTCATTTAAACCACTGAGACAGATACTAAAGGTTTTAAAATTTTTTGTATCAAATGCTTGAGATGAAGAAAGACAGGCACCATTGTGTGGCTGTGTCTGAGATTTGGCAGAGCTGACATATTTTGGTTACTTCATTCGGTAGAAGTGCTTTTTTTTTTTTTTTTTTGTAGATGTGCATTGAACACTGGTTTCATGAAGACCAGGAGCTCTGTGTTTTGACTTGTGATTTTATGCCTGTACATAAGCATGGCATTTCTGGTAGGCTTTTAAATTTTGTTTTCATGTCTTCAGTTTTCATAGTTGGCCTTCATTTGTAATTTTACTGTAATTAGTGCCATGTCTTCCGTCTTCATCTTCTCATATGTTTTCTGGGATTGGCCTGTTGGGTTGTTAATTGAGACTAGATGAGGTCAGGAACGTCCTGTTACTATATAGTATCAGTAAGGTCTCTTTGACAGCCCTTTGCTATTCTCAGTCTGAGTACCTGTCCTGGTGAAGTAGGTGATACTTTGCTTATCTGCTGTGGGAGCTTTAACAAGAGTTTGCTGCAGTTTCCTTCTTGGTATTAACATTAAAGCATGCATATGTACACACCCGTGTTATTGTTAATTCCTATAGCTTTTATTCTCAGACAAGCACATCCAAGAGAGTGGTAAGCAAGTCTATTTCTCAAAAATGTAGATTGCTCCAGCCTTGAGGGGGAGGCTGCTTCTCTTCAGAGACATTAGGTTGCCTCATGATTTGCAATAATCAATTTGATAATTGTTGTTGACTTACTGGCTCAGCTCATGAATAATGTCCCAGATTTAGACTAGTATGGAAAAAGGATTTTAATCAGGTGGTACTTTTGTTCCCATGGAGCATTTGTCTTGCTTGACTGTTCTGGACTCCAGCCAACTGCCAGAAAGGCATTTTTCCTTCTGTATATGTATAGACTGTATGTCATGTAAGTGTTCACTGGGGGAGTGTCCAGCCCACTAAAGCTCATTGGTAGTTTACCTTTTACCAGCGCACCATTAGAAACCCTTTCTCTCTAAGAATCGGTTTGAAGGGAGGCATGAATCTCATCACTAAATATTGTTTTCATCCCAGCCTACCCTATTGCTTCCGAGTGAGAGGAACCCCTTTGGCTGCTGTGAAAACTCTGAAATAACTTGATTATCTAAAGTACATTAATTTAGATACAATCACTTGGTTGCTAGGAGAAGAATCAGAAAGGAAGAGCTCTCTGTGTGCAGACTGCCTGTGTCACAAGAGCCAGGAAAGTACGTGGAACTCGCTGTCCTTCAGAATTTACACTTCTGCTCATCAGGCTAGAAACATCTGAAATTCTAACCCCCATCACCCATTCCCCCACCATATGCGATGTGATGCTTTGATGCTTGCTTACTCTATCATCTGTTTAATTAGCTTGAGAAACTGAAAGGGAATGAAGGCCTTTGGCTCCTCAGTAAGTAGTTGAGAGCTCTGAGGCTCCTGAGGTTCTGGACTTTGTGTTGATGTATGAAAAAAGTTTAGGAAGTGCTAGCAGGTTTTATGTGTTTTTATTGTTTCTATAACTATTTGTGCTGACATGATGTGGTGTTGGCTCCATGGAGCACATCTTACTGTTACAGAGCTCCCTGGGTAGGACCAGTGTGCGCTGGGTTCTGTCTCATCCCCAAAGGTTCATGAGCAGGAGGTGCTGTCCTGGTGCCATGGCAGGTGGCGCTCATCTCAAGGTTGAGAAACAATTCTGCACCAGCCGTGATGGGTGCACCTGTAATTCCAGCAGGATCGGAAGTTGGAGCCCAGCCTGGGCAGGTTAGCAACTGAGCGACACTCTGGCTCAAAGTAAAAAAAAAAAAAAAAAAGTTTTAAAAAGGGTTGGTAATGTAGCTCAGTGGTAAGGCCTGGATTTAATCTCCAGTACCCACAAAGAAGAAAAGGCTTGGCTTTATATAACCTAAAATTCAAGATTAAAATTCAGATGGAGTCTTTCTAGTTTCCTGAGAAGAGTTTTAGAGGCTGTCAAACACAGCGTGGGCATTGCTGGGGGATTTTTTTGTTTGTTATTGGGGGGGGGGGCTAATGGTAATGAAAAATCAAAGCCTAAATGAATCTCTATAGAAGGGTTCGTCATTGGAGCTCACTTTTTTTTTTTTTTTTTTAATTTATGTGTTTGGCAGAGGGTCTCACTATGCAACTCAAATTCACAATGATCCCCCTATTTTTGGCCTCCCCAGCACTGGGATTATAGGCTTGCTTCACCACTCAGGGACTCAGTGGCCAGGTTGCTAGCGCGCCTGGAGGTGGGGTTGATGCAGCATGCGGTACCAGGGATTGAACCCTGGTCCCTACACTTGCCTAAGCAGGCACTTAGTCCACTGAGCTATCTCACCAGCCCTATGACCTCACTTTTTAAATGAGCTGCTCTTAAGGTCTCAGAGGAAAATTGTGCCTGCAGCTTCCAGGCACTCTCATAACATTGTTTAGTGATGGAACAGAAGCATCCGGTGAGTGAGAATGTCCCAGAAACTGTTGTTTAGCTGTTTCTTCTATTTAGGCTACATGAGCATAGAGTCAGTGTCATTGTTTCAGAAATGTCTGATTCTTTGAGGTTACTTACTTAGCTGCCTGTGGTCTGCCAGACTTTTTTATCCTACTCCTGACAGAAACATTTACTTGGGTTCCACTAGTTTCCCATGATTCCTTTCTTATTTTCTCCTCCAGGATACCCAAAAAGCAAAGCAGTTCCTGCCCTTCCTTCAACGGGCAGGGCGCTCAGAAGCTGTGGTGGAGTATGTCTTCAGTGGGTCTCGCCTCAAGCTCTATTTGCCAAAGGAAACTTGCCTTATCACCTTTTTGCTTGCAGGTAAGTCCTCTGTGTTATATATTACTCTGAGCATCCTTCCTGGAGTTCAGATGCCACCCCTGGAGGTCACACACCCTTCCCTGTGGCTTATGTAGGCCCAGGGTCCCACCTGGCTGTTTCCATCGTGAAATAGGATATGGACACACCCTTTCCAGTGGTCTCAGACCCAGCGTTACATCCTGCTCTTGCTCTTCTAGTCCCTGAAGCACAGGATGTAGGAGAGCAAAGTTGTTAAAAGACAGTGCACAGCCTCATAAAGAAATCATCACTAATGGAATTCTTATAGTTGGTATTACCCACTTCATATCACCTGCCCCTGCTTGTTGGTCCTGAGCAGGCTGTAGAATACCTGAGCCACCCTGCCCGTGGGGCTCTCGGGGCAGTGCTATTTGCTTCTTCTTTTAAGTGTCAACAGGATCTTAGTCCTGTGTGGAACCCCAGGTATGATGTCACTTTCACAGTCTCTTGCACTGGCAGTAATTTTGTTGCTCTAGGAGTGCATGCTGGCACACACCTTTCTCCTTTCTTTGCTAGCTGAATGCACCACCCTATTATCCTATCTTTTCTAGTAGCTTAATATCTCCCAAGCTAGCAGGACTATGTATGAACTGTGCTCTTTGAACAATTTACATTTATATATTCAGGGAGCAAACTGCTTCATTTCTTCGCTGCTGGCAAATAATAAAGTTATTTATGTCTAGTCAGTGCTTCACAGAGAACTATGGACTTGGAAGGAAGGCTGTCATCTCACACCCACCCCCCTTGCTGTCATTCACTCACAAAGGATATATGCTGTCCTGCTCCCCAGATGCTTGGTGCCTTTTCTGTTGCTGTCCTGTTGCCTCAGCATTTCTTCTGTTGCATTCTTGAATAGAATTTGTTGTGGGGGAAGAAAAGCCGGAACCATGCTTGCTGTCCCCTGCCAGATTGACTAGGCCTCCTTTTCTTCGAAGGGATGGGTAGTTTCTCATCTGGATAGGGGACCCCTGCAGGCCCCAACTCAATGGGATGAGTAATGTGAGGTAAGTTACTCCCCCAACACATGACTGCGAAGCTCACTGCTGCCCTTTGGCCACCTTTTCTCCACAGGGCATCATCACACACTCTTAGCAACTTGATGCTGGTGACCCAGGCTTTCTGAACGGACAAAGTATGACCCCAAGTGTAGGGCCAGCTCTGGGAAAGAAGGCTGGAGCAAATCCACACCTTCTGTTTCCTTCTGTGTGGGCCGTAGTACACTGAGGTGTCACAGAGCTTGCGGGGAGGAAGTGAAGTCCTTTCAGGGAGTCATTTATGCCCTTTTCTGTACCTTCTAACTAGTGAGTTCTTGTTACTGAGCTTGAGCTATATATTCAACTTGTTTTCTACTGTCTTTCTGAAAAAACCAAAAGCGTCCTTTTGTAGCATAGTGTTTATCCTCAGAGGGGAAAAGAGAAACTACAATTCTTCCAGGCAGACTTGCCCACAGAGCTACAGGGCCAAGAAAACATTGAAGTTTAGATTTTAAAGTCAGAGTTACTAGAATGGAATTGGCTCAGAGCACGGACCTGTCTTGGCTCTAGTGTTTTGCAAAATGCTTCTCCTTTCCCCTTACTTAGACACAAGCCGTCTGGCCACTCGGCTCTGCCTCAGCCAGTTACTCTAAGGACTTGGCATTAGCCTCAGCTTCACAATTCCTAGACATTGGCTGGGTTAACTAACATTCTGAAAGATAGGCTGCGCAGAAGCAAATGATAAAAGGTGTAATCTTTACATTTGTCTTCTTGCCATTATATATGTTGTTCAATTATACATGTTTTGGTTCCTTAGAAACCTGTCAGGGACACAGGACCCTGAAAACCTTTGAGAAAAGCACATCACAACTTGAATCCTGGCTCTATCATATACAAACAGGATTTTAGGGAAGTTATTTATCCCGTTGAAGCCTCCGTGTGCACATTAGTCATAAGTGGCAATGGTTTCTTGCCTCTCAAAATTGTTGGGAGGGTTTAATGAGACAATCCTAGAATAAGCCTGCTGTAAAACACATCATCAATGAGTTTGTTTCCTTCCCTAAGAGATTTAGGATCTATGTCAGGAGATTTTAGTCATCTGCAGTGCCATCATTTGCAGTGTGTGTGCATGTAGCTGTGGCTCTGCCAGGCAGCTTCCCGCCCATCCCCTGATAGAATAAGTTAGGGACAGCAGCTGTACCAACCTCCTTTGGCCTGAGTAATGAGCTCCCCACAAAGAGGCTCCTGGTGTTCCTGGTGTTCCCCTCAGCTTTTGGACCAAGTAGCTCTGTGTTGTCTATCTCCTTATCACAAAGAATAGTCAGGAAAGAATGGCTCTAGGCCTCAGGAAGCCCTCTAGGCAAGACAGATGTGTATATAAGCTGTAGTGGTGGGCACTAGATAAGAGAATATAACTATGGACAAAACACAGATCTAGCAGCCAGCAGGAAGCAGTGGATTCCCTAGGTGGAATTTAGGGAACACTTACTTGAGGAGCTATATGCAGCCCTGGGCTGTGTTTTGAAAGATAAAGAAGCTTGCTCTCTTGGTAGGAGGGAAACATTTATAAGTGCATAGGTGGAATAGCTGGGCCACCATGCACCCTTTGTTATTGGTACAGTATAAAAAGTGAGGTGGGGCTTGCTTGCCTAGCATGCATAGGGCCTTGGATTTCATCCCCAGTACTGGGGGTCAGGGGACAAGAGATAGTCTTCTCCTTCAGATTATCCTGTCGACTTTAGAGACTAAAAGGTAGGAACATTGGTGTGATTTGTTCTAAGAAACTTGGTAAGTACAGTATATTAGAATTAATGAAACCAAGGGGCTAGGGAGATGGCTCAGTGGAATAAGTGCTTCCCTGGCAAGTGCAAAGGCCTGAGTTCATTCCCCAGTTCCACAAAGAAAAAAATTAATGAAACCCGGGTACAGTAGAACAGACTTAGAAGGTAGAGTCCTTAAATCTGGCAGTGGAGGAGAAAAAAATTGGAAACATGTAGGAGGTAGACTAGACAGGATTCCTGGAATGACTACTTTTTGGCAGGCAGTAGGTGCTGGTGGTCAGTCTAGGGGAGAGAATTCAAGCGTCTTAAGCTTGAACAGTTGAGTAGATGTGATGTCCATAATTGGGGCAACAGAAGGTAGGGATTGGTTTGAAGAATGGGTACCTGGTTTGATTTTCAATGTGTGTTATTTGAAGTTTTTGTGGAAGTGCGCCACCTCAGCAGAGGAGCCTCAGCAAAGCCTTAAAGCCAGGGAGTGGGCAGCTATAGGCTCTTCGGAGTAAATACCATGGAATACATCACCTTGGGAAGAATGGGGCAGAGAAAACATAGTAGACTGGAAGGCCCTGTGGTCTTCTGGATGTCAAAGGAGCACAGAATTTCAAGTAGTTTGCAGTGTCAGGGTCTGTGAAAAAGAAAATCAGTACACAAAAAAGGATGAAATGATTTCGTACTGTTTATCAGTCAGAAAGTCACAGGTACCCCTTGTCAGTATACATCAGAATGAAGTCAATTACAGGCAGATTCATGGTGACTGAGCGGTACATAGGTGCAGTAAGGAATAGACTTGGCAGCCGCTGTGCAGCCCAAAGTCCTCACAGAATGCAAAGTAGTGCAGAAGAGTGAAAGCTAACCAAACAAAGTAATACTGTAAGGTTGTCAGCTCCTTGAGTAGTTGTAGAACTGTAACTCTTGTTCAAGATTCAGGAAGGTGCACATATATTTAGAAAAGCTATTCAATGTACCTACTGTTTTCATAATAGCAATTGTTGAATGTAGGACTCAACAAAATCTTTTTTTTTTTTTTTGCGGAACTGGGGATTGAATTCAGGCCCTTGCGCTTGCCAGGGAAGTGCTTATTCTACTGAGCCATCTCCCCGGCCCTCAACAAAATCTTCAGGGCGAATGAGGATATGAAAAAGATGAAGTGAGAGAATATTAGAGGAATAATGCATCTTAGAAGTTGAGAAACCCTGCTATGAATTTTGAAAAGGGACTCAGAACAGCTGCAAGGGGATAGTGAATAGAGCAGGGACTTACAGGAGCTGAATGGGTGAGATGGCTGAGAAGGTGAGTGTGGAGTCTGCTTACCATGAGAATGGCCCCTAGGTCCTTGGGACCAGCTGCAGCAGTGAAGGTGAGGACAGGAACAGACGGCATCTGTGTTGTGAAAGTGTTTACTGGAACATGATTCTTATGGGTACACCTTGTTGGAGTCTGGTGAATGCAGTGCCATGCTGTAAAAATGGAACTGCACAGAGAATGATGTCTCTGAGCAGCAAGGAGGGAGTTGCGGTTGTGATTCTCCAGGGGAAAGTCAAGAGAACTAGCGGTCAGTTCCTTCCCTACTACTCTCATTAATCCCAGCCTTTGGAGAGGCCTCTGTACTTTAAGTTGCAGTGGACTCTTTCCATTTTTATGTGGCCTTTTTTGGGCAGACGGCCCCACAGCTTGATAGGGAGTGGCATTTGGCCCAAGCCAGCTGGCCTCTCTGTCACGGTTCCTGCACCCCTGTATGTGAAGTGATTGCTTGGTCAGATGGGAGAGCAGGTGGGGCTGGGCAAAGTCAGCTGCAGCTAACAGGTCAGTGCCTCCTGAGAGCTCTTGCCCTTCAGTCCTCTGAGCACCTGGCTTAGGTTTGGTTGGTGAGCAGGTGACCTTGCACCCCCTGAGCTGAGACTGCTCAAGGTCCCTCTGCCTGCTGCTGTGGCCTCCTGTGCAGACGTAGTTCAGTCTTGGGGGCCAATCACAGCCAACTCTTGTCCTGAGGCAGCAGGGGAGCCAGGAGCCCCAGGCAGCCTGCATTTATTTAAAAGCATCCTTTTCCTTCCTCTAGCATTTAGTGAGCCCCATACATTAGAACAAAAGCAGCTTACCCTCAATCTTTGTTTTAGATTTACTTGTCATGGGTATCACATTCTATTTTGGTATCTTGTCTGAAAGGAGAGACTGAGGCACGCATTTGCAAATCACCTGTCCCTTGATTCTTATTTTTTTTAATAGCACC